TGGGCGCTAGTACTCTACGACGAGGGAGGGCATTTTGAAGACTCTTGCCAACATAGAGGAGAGACTGTCTAGCGACAATATGGTACCAGCTTCATCTGCCATATTGGGCAGCATAAAGAGCTGAAAGGCGCGAAGAAACGATCATGAGCGCAAAGATCTTTGCCTGACTGAATTCAAAGGGATACTTCGTGATGCCTGAACCCCCTTATTCAGCACTGCTATAACGTTGGCCTTCAACTGAATGGGTTTTCCGCATCATAGACGTGGTCTTTGCAAAGGATAGGGCATGTGACGGTGCATGGCTTGAAACCCAACTACATCAGATTTCCCTTCAAGCAAATCGAGCTCAGGATGGCATTATTGGTGATGAACAAGGGCATACTCGCACACCTTATTGTTGGAACGAATCTTAACTATACGTATCGTATCTGGGTATGTGACAAGAGAATCGTAATTCACCGCGCTGCGGCGTCGCGTGCGACGTCGCGCCCGCAAATGACGATGGTTCCAGGTAGTAGATGGCGACAACAGGCAATTCAGAACCGAAAATAGTCATGAATGTCTACGATGACGGGGTCTACATGAAGTCCGGTGCTCCAATCGACAGGTTAACACGAGTTAAGAAAACGCCGCACCATCGCCGCGCGCGGCGAAGAGGCAAACTACGATTCTCTGGGAAGCCCGTCTCCCATCGTATATTGTGTCAGAATACGTCTGCAATAACAAAAGTTTTGAGGTTCGTACTATAGTTTTTTTTCGAAATTCCTCCGGTGCTTTGCTTGCCCAGTGTATTGTAGTGCATACAGTATAGAAAATAGAACTGGTATCATTCCGTGATTTTACATACTTTACCACATAACTCGACATTCTGCGGGAGACGTGCAAGAGAATCGTAAATTGAAACTTCGTCGCCAATGGATGCTACGTTTCCTCAAATTTCCCTACCCTTTCGATTGGAGCATTAAATTTTCTGTAGACAACGACATGGTAGACAAATTCATATATCTTTCGGTCATACGTTGTCTATTCTCGACCAATACCACCTAAAATCCTCGTCATTAGGGGGCGCGACGTCGCACGCGACGTCCACTGGCGCGGCGAATTACGATTCTCTTGCCACATACCCCATTCTGCGTATTCTACATTATAAAGTGCATCCCGTAGTGAACCAAAGCCATGAGAGCAAAAGAACATACTGTCTTCCTCGAGAAGACGACGACGTTGATGGAGTTGGCGAAAATGCCGAATAGGTAGGTGATAGGCATTAGATAAGCCCGAAATAGAAATTGAATCTGAGTGAACGAATCGGCAGGAGAGGAGTCGCACACGTCCAGCGAGTCATCCAGCAATTCTCCAACACTCATATACGCTCCTGAAATGACTATTTCATGAGAATTAGAGGAATCGGCCCGAATAACGACCATCTCAACGAAAAAAAGGCGATCACATGTCACGGGTCATTACACCTGACAGAAGTTCAGAATAACATTCAAAAGCCACTGGGAAATGATAGTTGCTCGCCCCTCACTAGAGTACATCAAGGGGATGTGTGAACTTCCTACTGAACTTCCTACTCCGGTACGACCCCTTCCACAACCTAAATCAATCTTCTTAAGAGGTGGAGGGAGAGGGAGGGAGGTGACACATCCGATCAACTATCAGGAGTAGTAGTTTTCTCATGAGGCCGATCACGGAGTACATAGAGCAGTAACATGGAGAAATCTCAACATTCAGATATCTCCGATTCCCGGGAGTCGTGCAAGTCTCCCAAAAGATCAGTTCACCATTGACTGGCCATATCTTGCGATAGGGGCGGTAAAACTGCCTAGTACAGTGACCCTAATCTTCACTATTGTTTAAAGGCACTTTCCGCGATAAAATAAGGCTATGACCTTTCAAATGTGTCAGACGATCCGGAAGGAGATTGCGGAGGCTGCGCTACCTTTAGAAAGTGAAAATCGGCAAGAATTCCGCTTTAAAGCTAACCAATTAGGCCCATGGGCGCCCCTTAGGCCCATGCCGACCCCCACCGGCTGCTAGCTACTAGCTAGTAGCCACTATGCTATCTCTCTCCATTCCGAATGGTGAGAGTGAGGTGATACGATAAAAGAGCTGATATCTTTATGATAACGACGAGTGGAAATTCGTACAAACATGCGTTTTCTTCATTGCATGCATGTACAAGTTGGGGTCGATATGGATCCTATTTAGGGCATTTTCGGCTGTTTTTCTGCTGCTTTTCTCAGATACCTAGCCCTTTTTCGTTCCTATGTGGGTTCCGTTACCCACAATCTGTGGTCGCGGGCTTTGCCTTCAAAGGCAGCTGGCACGATAAATCCCTGAAGACGAGTAGGATTAATATGGTCCAGGGACAACTTTAACTTAATCCCTTTGAACGCGTCCATCTTCTCTTTTTCTCTGCACTCCCCCATCTGCATGGCACTATATGGCCGTTGCGACTTCGCTCACTCCACTTTTTCACCAACTGTAAGTAGCTCACTTACCCCGGGATCCCCTTTCCTAACTCGCCATATGTTTTTTGCACGTTTCGATGCTTTGGACAGCCGCTGCCCTCTACCCGTTCTGCGTCACAGGGTTTCGCAACAGGACCCACAAAAGTTCAAGATGTCACGTAACCCTTATAAGGGGCCCTGTCAAGCTACAATATACCGACCCGAACGCCCACCACGCCGCCCGCCCACAAATGGACGACCGTTCCTGACGCTCGTATTGATTCATTTGCTAAGCAAATTATGAAGCGAAGGGATTGGTATGAAGCGACGGCGGTGCTGCATGGATTCATGAGCACATACGTGCAACCGTATCTACCGTAACGGTTATTGGCAAGATGCCTCCGGGGAACTCGTCCGAAATCGATGCCGAGTACCAAACTGTCGTACCAACTGCCTTTAAATCTGAGTAGTCTGTAAATCACTGCATCATAACAGGTGATATTGGGTCAAACGGATTTCTGCATGCAGTATTCAGAAATGTAAAAAGCGCACATCGTCGTTATGAGTATCCCATCGTGTGGGAGGGCGCAGTTGGTCGTTGGGTAGTCATATTTTGGCCTCAGAAAAATTGGGGGCGTAGCAAGAGTCCCGGTCAGGTCACCCAACTACACTGGGTTTTCGCAACTCGCCGAGTTCATTAGGATGATTCGGCTTTCTTGAAACAGCCTCTCAAAAAGTTCTAGGGTACCATCCTAGTGAGAAAGTCATAAAAGAATTGATAATTCCTTCATACAGTGAACATTAATATTGAAAGTGGCCCTTGGAATCATTCTAATGTACTCGGCGAGTTGCGAAAACCCACTGTAGTTGGGCGACCTGACCAGAGACTTGCTACGTCCCAAATTTTCTGAAGCCGAAATACCACTACCCAACGACCAACTACGCCCTCCCACACGATGGGATACTCATAACGACGATGTAGGCTGATTCTATTCCCCTAACGGATGTTCGATGAAGGGTATAGTGGTCGTACTTTGGAATTCGCCGCATCATAATGACGCCCTTGTTTTGTTGAGCAAAAGGTCGTCTCGCACTTCTCGGTGACCTTTTTCCGTGGCTAAATCTCGTTGCTCTACATAGATGAATAGAACTATGAGAGAAAGCGGGAGCAGTTCTATGGTAAAGTAATAAGTGAAATAAGATATTCCAGATGTGAATGCCTGTCACCCGACCAAGATGTCCCCCAGCAATAGCACCGAGCCTCTCAGACGAATAATTTTGATTCTCTTAACAAGCGATCATCAAATCCCATACCAGTGGCATTGTCCTAACACGTGGTTAGAGAGGTGCTTGTGATCGGGTCATCGTCGTTCGCGCCGTTCACCTGGAAACCTGCATAATCACCTGCATTGAAAGGGGCGGTGAAATACAGAATACGCCCAATATATACGGAGGACTGTCACTGGAGCAGAAATTTGCCAACTAAAATACGAAAGTCACAAGAATATACCAAGAGCAAGTTTTTGCATGTGATTTTTCTACAGCATTGACGTAAACATCCCACACGTTTTTTCCTCAACCTCAACAAAAGAAACCGGAAAAATACACGCAAAAGTGAAAAGGATAACGAAGCAGTCCAGAAGAGAAGCATCACTACTTGGCAAATATGAAGGCGCTAATCAGAGGGGAGAGGGGGCATTTGGTGAGTAATAATATCATCATGCAGGGCATGTGTTGCAAACCCTCGTAAATGTACAGAATAAACACGATATGCTTGACTGAGTTGGGACATTTCCTGCTACTCCAAGGAAAACCGCGAAGGGCACATCATTGGCCTTGGGATTTTAATCCGAGAGCCCTTAACGCCACCCCCCTACAGCCGCCTCTGCTCGGCTCCTCATCAAAATCGAGCGTCGAGCCGCGGGGGGGGGGTTAGAACTCGAACTAAAATCTCCAACAATATTGCCGTTGCGCGTTTGGCCTTTGGAGTAGTAGAAAATGTCCAGCTGCAAGTAACTACTGGTGTTTATTCTGTAACCCTCTACGAGGGTTTACCAATCCCGCACAGATGGAGGGTCATACCAACCAATAAAAAATTGGGGGAGTGTGGGATAAAAGTGGGCAACAACACTATGCAAAGAAAACCGCGAGACAATACCAATCCCGAACTCCTTCCTACCGAATTCTCATCGCCCCATTTCCTGTCCTACTTTTTCCAAGATTTCCTGAAAACTTTTTCCTAAAAATTTTGCTGTCGAGCGGAGGGGGGAGGGTATATAGTACACATGAAACAGGAAAAAATCAGCCACACTCCTGAAGTCGCAGAAAGTAAATCTGCGACCCCCATCCGCAACAAAATGAGGCAAGTACGTCCCCCTTTTTACAGGCGTCCGTGAATGCCGAGAAAAAGCTGTCAAAATAATTTTTTTTCAGTCCAAAATACGACCCCTCCCCCATCCTCTCTCTTTGCCGGCCAAACTACGACCCCCTGTTGGTGATTGCGACCTGAAACCGCGATCGGCCTGGATCGAATAGAATATTGATCGAACATTTTGACAGTTTTCTCAGACAATCATTGGATATGGAGGGCTCGTCCAGCGTCTTAATTTGTTCCCTTGTAAGAATACAGATTCTGAAAATAAGCAAAAGACAAAAGAACCTAGGAGACATGGGCGTAGGGGAAGGTGCGGAGAATGCCTTGTGATGAACCACCCCGATGAAATGCGAGAATCACTTTATTACACTGATAGTTTTTGTGCACAGGGCTCATTTCATCCACCCCAGAGAATCTTTCGTTGTCGAAGGCAGAGACCCTCTTGTTTTTGTTGACAGCTGTTAGCACTTTCCAGCACTGAATGCGGCCCAATACACCGAAAAAATTCAAAGAATTCGCGAAATAATAAAGCCCTATTGTTTCTTACCTTCACAGCTGTTTGCAAGGGTTTCTGCCCAGTATTCGATAGGAGTTTACACAATGCTCTCTTAGCGCCCAGAAGCGCCTTGCAAAAATGGATTAATATTCTATTTACGGTGAAAAAGTTGAAGTCTCTCGAAATTTGGTTGGAGTTAGTTCATGTTCAAAGTACAGTACAGTAATTCTGGCGCTCAAACCCATCTGAACCCCGAACGGCCCTTCAAGGGGTGAAATGCCCTCACGAAGCGCTGTAATGACAAATATACAACAGACAATAGACGTTTCGAGCCCGGCAAAGACCGCCATTATAATTAGCCTTGGAGAAGCCCTCTCAAGATTGTTGCACTTCAGTTCTGTTTATGTTCCCCTTTCTTAGCCTTCTTCAGTGCTGGAAAAATGGAAAGACAAATGTACGGAGAGATAGGCTGCAAATGCAGCGTCCACACGAAGAGAAGGTCTGGAAAAGCGAGCAGATGCTTCAGGCAACCCTTGACGTCAGCGCAGTAGCAGTTAGCACGTTCTAGCACACTCGTTTATCGTTTTACCGAACCTTTTTTCTGAGGATAATCTTTGGTTTTCCTTTGCAGTTATGTATAATGCCATGCCGAAATTGCCATGTAAAATTGCCCCAAATTCTAAAGTGAATGGTTTCCCTTAGCTGCAAGGGTTTGGCAGTGGAATGAATGTAGTAAATAACAGAGGCGGAAGGAAAATTTGCAAGCCAATGAAGAATATGACGGTGATCCTCGGGACGACAGTCGATTAGTTCGCGCAACCCTTTCCACCTGCCAGTAAAGCACGTCATATGTCCTGCTAATGGATAGTCTGCTGAAGTGAGATCGGACAAGATGAGAGCCCAGATCGCGAAACAACCACCAATAGTGCGTCCTTTTTTCTCCTTGTCGCAGACGGGCGTCATGAGAAGGAAGGACTTCCTTGATGTTGGGGCAAAGTCCTGCGACATTCGCATCACGGTACAGCATCGTTGTGAGAAGCA